ATATATATATATATATATACACTATTTAATTATATATATATATATATACTTATTTAACTATATATATATATATACGCCCCCCAGTGGCACAGCGGTATGTCTGCGGACTTACAACACTAGAAACCGGGTTTCGATAGCCGTGGTGGGCAGAGCATAGAAAGCCCATTGTGTAGCTTTGTGCTTAATTACAAACAAACAATATATATACACTTATTTAACTATATATATTTTATTTCGTCTTTATGTCACACTTTAATGTTCATTTAGAAACATATTTAATAAAAACTGCAGTTAACAAGTTTTTGTGACTGAGTTTCATGTGAAATTATGCATTTTGATTGAAACGATTGTGATTTAATTTATCATAACGGTTTAGTTATTATAATTTTGGATTTTCGTTTCGTTTCTTAGAAAAATGCATATTTTTTTATTTCTCTAGGCTTTCGATGCAGACGAGATGGGTCCCAATAGTAACGTGACTTACGAAATAATAAGTGGTAACTACCAAGACAAGTTTAAAATAAACCCCATCTCGGGAGAGATAACTCTGAAGGAACCCTTAGCTGACGTAACGAAGCAGGAAAACCACAATCTGCCTCCAATAACCCTAAACGTGAGAGCTCACGATCAGGGTGTTCCAGTGCAGTCGTCGAGTGTGGAAGTACAGGTACATAACCAGGTAAGTAATGTTTCATTAATGTTTTACACATAGTTAGCAAATAATACAACGTTATCAAGGGTGCGTCCATAAAAGTTTATTCTTCTGTAACTACGAGCTTACTCCGTGTTCACACCGTTATCAGTACTACTTTATTCTTTCTCGTATTGTAACTACGTGTTTCTTTCATACTATTAACAACAGTGTTTACTCCATATTAACAGAGTTATCAGTAGTGTTTACTCCGTATTCACACCGTTATCAGTACTACTTTATTCTTTCTCGTATTGTAACTACGTGTTTCTTTCATACTATTAACAACACTGTTTACTCCATATTAACAGAGTTATCAGTAGTGTTTACTCCGATTCACACCGTTATCAGTACTACTTTATTCTTTCTCGTATTGTAACTACGTGTTTCTTTCATACTATTAACAACAGTGTTTACTCCATATTAACAGAGTTATCAGTAGTGTTTACTCCGTATTCACACAGTTATCAGTACTTCTTTATTCTTTCTCGTATTGTAACTACGTGTTTCTTTCATACTATTAACAGCACTGTTTACTCCATATTAACATAGTTATCAGTAGTGTTTACTCCGTATTCACATCGTTATCAGTACTTCTTTATTCATTCTCATATTGTAACTATGTGTTTCTTTCATACTATTAACAACAGTGTTTACTCCATATTAACAGAGTTATCAGTAGTGTTTACTCCGTATTCACATCGTTATCAGTACTTCTTTATTCATTCTCATATTGTAACTATGTGTTTCTTTCATACTATTAACAGCACTGTTTACTCCATATTAACAGAATTATCAGTAGTGGTTACTCCATATTCACACAGTTATCAGTACTTCTTTGTTTCTCGTATTGTTAAAATTGTAAAAATTGTAACTATGAGCTTATTTCATATCCATACCGCAAAAATAATATTTATTTCATATTCACATCGTCAACAGTAATATTTATTTCATATTCACATCGTCAACAGTGATATTTATTTCATATTCACATCGTCAACAGTGATATTTATTTCATATTCACATCGTCAACAGTAATATTTATTCTGCATTCAAAACTTTATCAGGAGTGTTTGTTCCGTATTCCTACTATTAACACTGGTGTCCATTTTGTAATTATACTGTTATCTGTAGCGTTTCTTCCATATTCATGTTGTTAACGAGAGAAACCATGAGTTTCTTTCATGACACTGATAACGCTAGCGTTTATTCCGTATTAATTAATATATTTAATATTGTATCCAAGAGTGTGTTTTCTTAATATTGATACTATTAACACTAGTGTTTATTACTTTGTTATCTGTAGTCTTTCTTCCATATTCATGTTGTTAACGAGAGTAACCGAATTTGTTTCATGACACTGATAACGCTAGCGTTTATTCCGTATTAATTAATATATTTAATATTGTATCCAAGAGTGTTTTTTTTTTAAATACTGATACTATTAACACTTGTGTTTATTACTCTCTCATACTGTTAACAGTTAGCTTCAGATATTTCATATTTTATCTAGGAATACCTTAACCGTACGATAACGTTTGTCATTCCACTACCTGCAGAGAAAATTCGCCACCGAAAAGATGAGATTGAGAGGTGACTTTTCTGATTGTTGTACTAAGTAAAGAAACCAGTTGGATATATCCAATATTGTTTGAACGTTGTATGCATGTATGAGACATTTCTTATTGTTGTACTAAGTAAAGAAACCAGTTGGATATATCATATACCCAATATTGTTTGAACGTTGTATGCATGTATGAGACATTTCTTATTGTTGTACTAATTAAAGAAACCAGTTGGATATATCCAGTATTGTTTGAACGTTGTATGGAAGAGACATTTTTTTTATTGTTGTAATAATTAAAGAAACCAGTTGGATATATTCAGTATTGTTTGAACGTTGTATGGAAGAGACATTTATGATTGTTGTACTAATTAAAGAAACCAGTTGGATATATCCAATATTGTTTGAACGTTGTATGGAAGAGACATTTATGATTGTTGTACTAATTAAAGAAACCAGTTGGATATATCCAATATTGTTTGAACGTTGTATGGAAGAGACATTTATGATTGTTGTACTAATTAAAGAAACCAGTTGGATATATCCAATATTGTTTGAACGTTGTATGTATGAGACATTTCCGATTGTTGTACTAATTAAGGAAACCAGTTAGATATATCCAGTATTGTTTGAACGTTGTATGGAAGAGACATTTCTGATTGTTGTACTCTAATTAAAGAAACCAGTTGGATATATCCAGTATTGTTTGAGCGTTGTATGGAAGTGACATTTCTGATTGTTGTACTAATTAAAGAAACCAGTTGGATATATCCAGTATTGTTTGAGCGTTGTATGGAAGTGACATTTCTGATTGTTGTACTAATTAAAGAAACCAGTTGGATATATCCAATATTGTTTGAAAGTTGTATGTATGCATGAGACATTTTTTATTGTTGTACTAATTAAAGAAACCAGTTGGATATATTCAGTATTGTTTGAACGTTGTATGGAAGAGACATTTCTGATTGTTGTACTAAGTAAAGAAACCAGCACCAAGGAATACTACTATACCTGTACTAATTATTTCCTTGAATGTATTCACACATGATATTACACTGTTAAGTACCATATATAATAAATTAAATATATACAATGCCGCTTATAGTCTTATACTTATCAGGGCGCTCGACTCGCAATCTGAAGGTCGAGGGTGCGAATCCTCGTCCCATCAAAGATGCTCGCCTTTTCAGCCGTAGAGGCGTTATAATGTTGATAAAAGAGTAGCCTAAGAGTTTGCGGTGGGTCATGATAACTAGATGCCTTCCTTCTAGTCTTTCACTGCTAAATTAGGGACGGTTAGCGCAGACAGCCCTCGTGTAGCT